AACTGGCAGGCTTTATACAACTTTGTGCTTGCAGTACAAACCTCACTATATTGCTGCTGGTTCTCTATTCCTTGCTGCCAAATTTCAAAAAGTGAAGCTCCCGATGGAGAAAGGAAAGGTGTGGTGGTGGGAATTTGATATTTCACCCAAACAATTAGAAGGTTTGCTGCTATCTCTCTTTATAAATACATATTTCACTTGCCTAAGTGGTGAAGCGTGATTGTGATCTTTGCTGTGCTTTTAAAATAGTTTGAAGATGCATAACCTTTTTTTATAAATATATAATATTCTTTAGGAGCAGGAGGGTGGGTGAGGTTCTATATGCATAAGCACAGTTTCAGAATGAGAAAGTTGGTAGATATAAATGACGCAGGACTTCCTTTTCAAATACACTTATTGTCAATTAGTTGTTTTCCTTCAGTTCATGCTATCTTCTCTGTGAAAATTCTAGGCTTTATAAATCTTATTTTTTAACATTTTGATTATTTTGGGTAGTTATTCATTTATAGATGTGCAACTGATCATTGCTATTCCTCATGATTCTCATGAACTTCCCAAACATAAATATTTCAGAGGTTATCCAGCAGATGCTCAAGCTGTTGGAGCAAGACAGAAAACAAGGTGTGACATCTGCAAATAGGAGGGCTACTCAAATTGCTTCAGCTAGAAAGACAAGCAGCTTCCATAGCCTTCAACCATGCATGTCAAGTGGATCGAATCCTAGGTGGCATTCTAGCAATGGAGTTGTGAGTGATGAACTTGGCAAATCACTGGGCAATGATGGCAGGCAACCATGTGTGAAAGATGCTTTACCTAGTCAAACAAGTGATAGTGGCACAAGTGCTGTTCTTGAGGACTGTGATGATGAGAGTCACCCAAGAACAGAGAAATCTGCCCAGAACCACCACTGTCGGATTGTTTCATCTCGGGCCCGTGATCATAGGCAAGTTGAAGTGAAAAAGGTTTTATCATGTCAAGCACGGGATGGTGCTACAAATGGTAGTACTGTTGAGGATAGTAAAGGTGATAGCAAGCTAATAACAGCAATATCTGATCCGGGCACAAACATGAAGAATTTTTCTGTTCGTCATACCTCTAGTAAGATCAATGCTTGCCAGATTGGAGAGACTTTGAAGAAGAGGAAAGGAGTGTCAGATAGATCTGGAAACCGTCCATTAGGAGAAGCAAAGAAGAGAGTTTTAAGACTCTGATTTCGACGTCTCCATTGGTAGGCACTGTACTGTACTGTACTGTACATTTCCTGCTTATCATGCTACACTAAAGTGATCATTGGCAGGGATATAGAGTATTCTTTCAACTGTATTATGTAGTTAAAACAGGCTTTACGTGATTCTGGGGTTCCAATATTAATACGACCATAATCATATCATTTGTCGATTTAGCTTACGGTGTAATTATTCCTTTAACATCTTGGTGATACATAGGCTTGTATGTTATGTTGATTTTATACTTTGGATCATTGATGTAGAATGGCCACATTTTTTCTGGTCCAGAGGATGTAAAATTAAGTTTTGTAAAACAAATTGCATTTATATTAGTAATACAATTGAAGTGTTGGTATCTTTTGCTGTTATAAATTCAAAGGGATGTTTCTTCCATGTTTATATTCACTGTTTTATCAATTTGCCTCTTCAATAGCAGTTAATTACTTTGTTTCTGTTCAAATAATATCTCTGCAAGCCTTCTAGCAATTCCTTGGAACAGGATCTGGAAATGAATTTCAACCTGGAATTCTATTTCCACAAGAAGCAGCTTCTCGTAGTTTTTTCAAAGAAATGAACTTAAATAAAATTCACATAAAACAATTTAGAGTCGTTTTCATTCATTCCAAGTTCCAAATTTTGATTGATTACTAGGTTCCCACATTGATGCAAGATATGGCAGCACTTGGGTGTGGTTGAAATGAATTTAACCACCAGGCATAATAAAATATGGACAAACCAACCTTTGGAGAGATAATTAATTATATTAGGTTAGGCTAACCACGTTTGTGACCTAGTAGATTGAGGGAATGGGAAGGAGAATAGGGGAGAAGGGGTATTGAACTTTGATTGTATTGGTGAAATATCTATACGCTGGTCACATGAGCTATTATCA